GCGTCGGCGGTTGCGCGGCGCCGCGACGCTTTCGTCGATTGCACGCCTCGCTCGCTCGCTCGTCGTGGATGACGTTTAAGAAGAACCTCGCTCTTCGCCACACTTTATCGGCATTTATGTAAACGACGACGGGGAGAGGCGATTGGCTTTTTTAGCGCCTCGAAATATGATCTCGATCGATCAATCGGAAGGAGAGGACGAAGGCTTGAGGGTTCTCAAGACTCGTCTACAAACTCGTGAAGTAAGCTGAGCGAATGAAGATTATACTGAGGAGAGTTCGAATAAAACGGATCAATTCTTTGGGAATTTGGTTGCATTAATTGCAATCGAATCAAATTAAATAAAAATTAGGCCTGTTACACAAAACAACAATCTAAACTGAATGACTAGAACTTTTAACTAATAAATTTGGTCAAAAGTAAAAATGAGTAGAAACTGAAATTTAGTTATATGGATGCTACAAGTGTATTTTCAGCTAACAATAAAGATTGATCTAATTGTATGATATAAATAATTTCACCCAGAGGATGGAAGGTAAAGTAAGTCAGACGATAAGTACATTGAACTAATAATTGGACGTTTGCAAGATTTGTTTAGCTAGAAGAAATCATTGTAATAGGTTTCTTAAGATTGTCGAATAAGTTATAATATACAGAATTCGGTTACACGACTTAAGAGCAATCGACAGGTTGCGGTAGATATCTTGTTCGCTCGCAGATAAATTCTCGTTGCAGAGAAATATAAATAGCAAATTAGACTTCCTCGCTTGAAGCCTAATGCGTCAGTAGGTATAATACCGGGGTTGTAACCAACGGTCTTCAGAGGGGGGTGCGGGGGAGAGAGGTACCAATAGCGCCGATGGTTGACGTCATATTGGGGTGGGGGTACTGTGGGCGCGGGGGATGACGTCACGCGAGAAAGGGGAAGTTACCAACGGTCGGTAATTTTTTACCGGCATATTTTTTACTAATATTTTTACCGGCAAATTTATTAACATAATTTTTACCGACATATTTTTTAACATAATTTTTACCGACGTAATTTTCTTTACTGACATAATCGATCATTTATTTTTACCGGCATATTTTTTATCGACATACTTTTTAATATAATTTTTACCGGCATATTTTTTAACATAATTTTTTTACCGACATAATTGATCATTTTTATCGACTCTGCGATCCACTCCTCTCCGCGTTTCGCACACGGTAGATTTTTAACGGCCTTTTCCCCTCTCAGGCTCGTGCCATCCGTCCGCGCTTCCGTATTATAAAATATCCTCGCCTATTCCAAAAAGTTCGAGAGACATTTTGAGGAGGACAAATCTTTTCATGTAGTACAGTTAATCCCCTCCGAAATTATGCAGCCCCAATAAAAATTTATCTTTAAACATACACTATCGTATACTTTCGATCTATCGTATACCTACGATATATCAACGATATATCTATGAGATACGAAATTATCGTATATCTACTTACGTAGATTTTTTCAAAGATTGGGTGGAGGAAAAGAGGAAGTAAAAGAGAGAAGAGACATTAATATATTTTAAGAAATATTTATTTTGTTTAATAAAGATTTCCGGCAATTTTCTCCGGCACTGAGACCACCATTTGAATATTTTTAATACATTCTGTAAAGCGCAATGCTTAATATGATCATTAGATCATAAAATGTTGGTTGCATACAATTTGCCCAAGAAAATTATGTCCTCGTAATCCGCGTCCAAGGTCTCGATGATCAGGTTACTTTTCACATTGTCATCCAGAAGATTCGTCAACCATTCTCGCTTTTCACATTCCTTTACGTATACGAGTCTGGGGGCAACGTCTTCATGTTCCATATCGAATGATTTGCCAACCACAGCTGCCGTAATCAAATGCTTAGCTCTGTTGTATGCAACAATCCCGTTATCCCATCGTAGTCCATGACGATTAGCCAACTCCAATTACGATATTAGATGCATCCAATACGACAGCAGCTTACTGAACGCTTGGTGAACTTTTACATCCGATTGGCATATTTCTTTAGATCTAAAAATATATACCAATCAGATAAAAGAGCTCAGTGAACGCTCAATGAGCTGTAATACTGAATGCACTTATTTGTTTACAATTATGTAATGACTGTTTTCCAATGAATACTGTATCACACAAAGCTATTTTATTGGTTACTTGTTATCACAGAAGATATCTTTAATAATGTGTAATCAATAAAATGGCTATATGTAATAAATCTTCTACAATAGGCAATAAAGCCAGAATTCGATCGGATGCACTAGTGCGCCCTCTTTTTTCTGCTACTAAAGCCAGCGGAATACGATGCTTGTTTCGATACTGGTTGCTTGCTGGATAAAAATATTCTGTTTTGGTTGGTGCATTTCCATCCATCTCCAGAAATACACCAATCAGATATCTTCTCGCGATATCAGCTTACTTATAAAGATCACTTTAGCACTTTCCGTGCAATCACATTCGTTGATATTTTGTAATCAATTCTTTACTAATTGTTCTGAAATCTGCAAAACAATAGAAAATTTCCTTGTACAGTTTAACGTAGAGGCGAGTATTGTGCTATTAGTGTGCCGCCAGATACCCTATATAAAGTGAAAAAGAAAAAGAGATCAACGTGCAATAATACAAAATTTAGTTTTGACTGTAAAATTACGGCACCATCAAATATATTGTAGGCTACCGACTGCGATGATTCTGCACGAAAGGAATTCTCTCCTCGCATTACACATTAGAACAGTCGGTCGAATTCTCGTCGGACGAATTCTTCGCGCGGCAGTTCGAATTCTGTACGTAGAGGTTGATCTTCTCATGAAGTGTCACCCGCGTTGTGATGCGCGGAGTACTTTTGTTGTGGCAACCACTGCGCGTTGAGTTTCTGGAGAATATGTCTTCCCGGCAGCCAAATCTTTTTAGTAGTAGCTTCTTGATCTTGTCCTTCCACACGAATATGATGAAGATGATGAGACCATGCAGAGAGTGTATCAGGTTGCTGATGTACCAGACGACTCGCAGCTTGCCCTTAAACTCCGTCGATATTATCTGCATGGACCAGGTTATGCCCATCACGATGAACAACTTCAGATACAGGATGAACCTGTAATATATTTTTCATGTTATATTTCTTGCGAATACGACGGGATCGATTAGTTTTATCATCGACTACGTTAACGAAGACAGCCTAAACCCAAAGAGTGATATCCGTGCAAGTACTGTAGTCTATGTTTACATGGTTAGCACGAAAAACTAATAATGAAATGTACAAAGAACCTTCGAAAGTTTCAAAATTATCAGGCACTTCAAATGCACGGTAGAACGATGATACACTCATACATACATACATACATATATACCTACATACATATATATATATATATATATATATATATATATATATATATGTGATACATGGTTCACTCAGTTTCATTGATGCTATACCATTCAGAAAATTCCAATCAGCCGTGTCCGTTTCTAGCTGATCGTTTTTCAATGAATGTTAATTCATCAAGCAAGCGGGAATGTGTCAAAACAGAAGTGACATTTTGACAGCTTGACGTTTTTTACATACGTGCTTTTTTAGGTGACCAGATTTCCCAGCCCATTTCCCAGCATTTACATATAATTTTATATATAATTTTATATTATTATATATAATTATACATAATTATGTATGGACAAATTTTATATATAATTATGCATGAAAAATTTTTCATTGGATCAAAACGATAATGACGACAATGCTCTTTTCAAATACGAACCATTGCTTATTGTCATTGTGAGAACTGCTTTCCGAGTTTCTCAGCAGATCAGCCGTGTCGTTTTTGTGCTGTTCGAGCTTCAACGTCGTGGAAATGAACAGGAAGAAGTTGCAGATAATAATGATACCCACGGGTAGGTAAAAATATAATTGAGTTGCCACGGTCGCTAAAAGTAGAGAATAAATCGTTAGTGTTTACGTTTTACAAGTTACACGTGATATGTGTATTCTTCATTTTAATTAATAGTAATAATAATAGTAACTAGTGCAGATAGTCAGAGATGCTGAACATAGCATGCAAAAATTTAACATGGACTTTGTGAAAATGTGTTACAACACATGTATTTAAAATATACTGTTTTAAGAAATACTATTTCACTATATATGCCATACATTTTTAAATTTAAAACGTTTAACTTCTAATTACTATAATAATTTCAGATTAATTGCGTTCTTTTGCCGGCAAATAAACAACAATTTTCATTACATCAGTTGTCTTTTTTATATACTTTATATACTAACAAAATTCTTGTTATATATATCTTTGTTTACTTGTGCTACAATTTTCAATACTCAATTCAGTCATCATGTGTCAAAATGTCTATCTGAGGTATAATATCAACTTTATTAGTATTTTATAACAACTTTATGTATATATAAAATATATAAATATTGTAATATATGATGTAATATACAATATATGATGTAATATTGTAATATATGATGTAATATACAGTTTCGTAGTAATTTTTTATTTTTTAGATAAAACGATTGTATTTTTATATCGTTATAATTTTTCGAAGCGCGCACGCGCAACATATACGCCTTTTGATCTATAATATTTTGCTGTTCTTTATACATATATTATCTTATAATAACGACATAAAAATATAATCGTTACATTTTATCTAAGGCCGATCGCAAATTATGCGAGGTCATTCGCAGGAAGCGACATATCAATATTATTAATTCCATCAGTTACATAGATTAATTCGAAAGAGAAATCCGAAAGGATTTTACTACAGAACCCGATATAATAGTAACTTTATTGTGTGACTTGAATGTAACACAGTTAAAATAAACACGCAAATGGCGAGGCGAAAGCATAGCGCTTCTAGGAGGCTCAAACACACATATTACAATCAGAGTTCTTGCAGATTTAACGAAAGTTAGGCGAGACGGGCGCTAATGTTAAAGAAAGACGTTCATTTTTGTCGTACTTACTCGTGAGCCAATATGTCACTTTGCCAAACTCCGGTCTGATTAAAGTTTCAGGTATACCGGGGACGAAATCCATGATGAGACAGAAAATAATAAGGATGGAGGCGCAACCCCACGCGTAAATCGAATACATGATAAACTTCTTTTTCTCCCGTCGCTTCACATTTCCTATCCGTAACGGGCGGTATCGGCTGCAAAATTATTTAAAGCTTATTAGCATAATAATGAGAAAAACAAGCGCATGTGTTACAAATACACATTAAAACAGTTATCACTTTTGGTCAATTTTCCCGGAAACCCGACCTCTTTAAATGCTTAATCTTTTTTCTTGATTCGTAATAATTAAAAGACGATGAGTCATATGTGATATAGATAATTAATTAGTAAATGAGAATGTAAGCTAAAATACCTAATTATTGACAATAGTCACTTTAACACTTAGACACTCTTATTCACTTTAACACTTCAGAAAAAAACTGTTTTTTTATGATCAGCATTGCAGTTAAACTTCTTGTCTGCACTTTATGATTCCAAAGGGGAATTTCATAATAACATTGATAAAAACCACCACTGACCGCAAGAAAAATTAAATTTTTCCAGATATACACTGAGAAAAAAATTTACACTGAGAAAAAAATTTACTAAATTTCAAGAAATATTTGTTTGGATAGTACTGTGAAGATATTTAAATTTTTAAATTTAGTAATTATTTTCTAAAATTAAAGAAACAAATTTATATTTAAAACTTCTTTATTTAATTTTATTTAATTTTAGAAAATAATTACATAATTTAAATAATTATTTTTACAGTATTATCCAAACATTTTTTGAAATTTCCTAAATTTTTTTTCAGCGTAACTATATATATATATATATATATATATATATATA